ATATGGGGGTTCATCTTCTGCAAAAAAAATAACAAGAAACAAAGCAATTTCATAGCTCAAACTGCATCTCGTACACCTTCTTTGAACCCTTTTAATGAATGTCTCTTGCGCAAAACAGTAAATATTTTATAATCACAACAAATGAAAACATCATAAAAATCATAATTAAATTTTGGCATAAAATAAACAGGGCTACTGATGATGAAACTTAGTGAAACAGAATTTTGCGTAATGGCACATAACTAATTCTATTTACAATGACAAAAGGTCGCTCGATGTAAAGCAAAAGACAGATTCACTACGTATGCAGATAGCTAACAGCTACACAATCCTTGGCACGACATACTACGGTAACCTTGAGCAGAGAAGCAATACGAAAAACGCTAAATTTAGAAGTTGAAGGTGCATCGTCTCCAAAGGAGTTTTTGGAGCATTAGTGTTATGCATAGAACTACTACTGTGCCGAATACCATGAAACAAATAACAAAATCAGTTAAGCCTATTTCGACAATGCGGTACATATTTTGCATAAAATTATTATAAATAACATGTTCCACAAAAGTTTCCTCACCTTTAATTCGCAGCAATCTCAGGAACTGCTCTTGGAGACGAACATCATTGAAGCGTGGAGGTTCGGTGTTCACCATTCCATGACTGTGACAGAATCGAACGGCGAACCGAGCACTGGGGAATCACTCACACACTGACGGATGGCCTAACACTTGAGGTTGCCAAACGCTGATATAACCAGACATCTGGCGAAAGGGCGGACATACGGTCAAAATCACGTTACACAAAAATTTCCATGTACGACATTTCCGCTTAGTCCAAGCGAGGTGCAGAGTCTGGTCGATCTCAGCGGATCGAGGTCAATAAATGAAACGTGTAATTTGCACAAGCATCTGTACGATCATTATCAGACGTCATATTTGCATATAGTTCATGGCGGAACAGACTGATACGTCTGGAATTTGCATAGCTGGTGCGAATCTCAAAATGCATGAGATAATTTTAATATCATAATGCTGAAAGGCGGACGATCGACTTCCGTGGGTACGATACAGAAAGGAGTAAGCAATTTGTTTGTTGTAGAAGCCAGTGAAGGTTTGAATATTAAAATTAGCGCTAAGACCATTAAAACTCTTGTACAACATCAACACCTTCCACATCCATAATCAGATAACTTGTGTTGTATCCCCATTGCAAAAGTAATGTATGTATCAATTCGTTAACCGGGGTTAACCGAAACTGTATGCAAATATGAAGCCTACTGATAGTAAT